TCATTTTTGTACTGGCCCAAGTGAAAAGCGTCCCCTCTAACGCCGGCCTTTCCTTCTGCTAGCTTAGTACCGCAATGAAGTGAAGCACCCAGCCGTATGGTCACCTCTTGGCATCGCTCCTGGGGAGAGCGAGCCCGAGGCCCGAGCCGCCGCCTGCTTCCCCACGGGGCTGCAGGATCGGCTCCCTCGGGGAAGCGAAACCTGGTTTGTAGGGTGACTCTCCATGTTGGCCATTATCTTTCACAATCTGCTTAGCCAACGTTTGGGGAAGATTCGCAACTAGGCATGGGGGGAGGGAGGGATTGCGAGACACACACGCACACATGGGGGAGTCTTGTGCTGGGAAAGCCAGCGCCATCAGCTTTACTGGAAGCAAGCCGGATCAGGTTCCAGATCAATGAAAACTGGGTCCACACGTTTATGTTACTGTTGCCAGCATTAATGCTCTTTTAATCTTCTAAACATTATCAGCATCGATCTCCCTCCATATACACATTGGTTTGAGAAAAGTGACATAACCACATGGCTGGAAAGACTGGAATAAAAATAAATGTTGGAGCCTTCTCGCTTGATGGGATCCTGTTCCCCGGGTTGTTTCGCGTGTGGTGTTCTCTCTAGCCTACCCTCAATGCTCTCAGGGACCCAGCACTAATGCATATTAGAAAGGTGTTATTGATTCACAGGGGACTCGAAAAGACAAGGACAGTAGTGAGCTAGCTCTTCAATTATTAATTTGATCAGCTCATCAAGCAAAAGTATGTCTGTGTTATGTACAAATGTTAATACACGTTTCTATAGGGCGCAAGGTGCATATTGACTACAGTGACTTGACACCGTAGGTACAGGATTATGTTTTGCATTGGTTATAATAAAATATTGCAATATGATATTATAGTATAAGATGTGGCTACACATATAGGCAATATGTCTAGTCCCATATGTGCAGCTATATCTGAGATTCTGTGGGTCCACACACAAACATAAACCTATTCATAAATATCTATTCTCTCACTGAAAGAGTTGCAGAGAAATGTGAACGCTCTGTCTAATGTCATTACAGGAATGGGTTAAAATATTAGAAAATCTTATCCATAATCATTAACAACTATTAAATGCGTCTCTTTACATCTTTCCTACCCTCTCTGGGTTTAGCTGGAAGGAGTGCGGTTAGCATCAATGAACAGGGCTTCAAATATGAAAAGTTAGAGCCCAATCCTGCCGTCCCAGAAAGCAGCAGAAATCCCATTGACTTCAACAGACTCAGGATAGGGTCTGGAATGTGGATAAACATGATTGCTCTTGCCTTTGGTGTCAAAGGGACCGTGTGTATAACTGTGCCGAGAAAATAGCGTCAGTTACAGGGATCTCGAGTGTGCATCCGCCATGCGAACGGCCCTCTTTTGTCGAGGGACAGAGGCTGGGACACGTTGGACGTTAATCGAAATGACAATGTCCTAAATGAGCTATTACAGATCACTGCAGGAAAAGTCACATGTTAGAATTAGCGCCACAACAGTTACCCCCCAATGAAAGCTATAGCAGATGACTGGCTTTAGTTTTAATGTCTTCCCCGATGTAGATAAGGCAACTGGCATATTCGTCACCTCATTATTGTATGCAGATCTCCTCTCTGCCTTCACTAGTGATGTTTCCCTAATTGAAAATCGTTCAATTTCGTGTGCGCGCGCGTAAGTGATTGTATCACAAAGGTGAAAACCATTAACGCGTGAGCTCTCCCGCTTCGAAGGCATCATAATTTGATTAGTAACATTACATGTACATCCCACCCCTCGAAAGCCGCCTTCCGAAAAGATCCCAGAATTGATTCTACTTCTCCCCTGTGATGCCAAAGCCCGTTTCTTTCCAGGAGCACATCGCCGCAGACAAACACAGACTCTGCAGCGAGAGACATTCATAATGCTGAAAAGGCGAAGGAATAAATACACCCCCCCCCATCTCGCCCTGGTGTGTTAGAGAAGATACCATGAATTTTTAATAGCCTACGGAGTCAAGAACAAAATCACCTTCCCAGTCCTGTGCTCTTTCCCCCTCCCCCAGCCAGACGAGGCCACTGGAATCGAAGGGGGAAAATAACCAAGCCCACAGCACTGCTGTAAAAATGAATGTACCCAGGTGGCTCTGGGCCGCCTCCTTCCCCCTGAAAATCTCTAAGACCCTTCGTGGTGGATTTAGATCCGAAAGCCCAGGCTCCGGGTTTGTGCCTGTTTAACCCAAACGAAAGTGACGCTGGCATCTCCAGTTGTGGGGCGTGCAGAGATTTCTATCAATAATGCATGGAGAGATGGCTTCTGTTCTCCCCCCCCCCAGCCCCAATCCCTGTAGCTACACTGAGTACATACTACCTACTTACCCAAATCCCCGCTACGGCATATTTTACAACAGGAGAGTGATCTATTGACCAAAATATAGTCTCCTATGATATACAGTAAGCCCTTAACACACTTGTTGTTGCTAATAAAACCACACAATAAATGGCAAAATCTCACCTTACTTTAGATACTAGATACAATCCGGATACTTGTATGCATCTATTTAAACGCCTCTCAAGAGCAATGTATTTTATATGCTTCTTTTCTTTATTCAGGACTTCAAGTGAACGATTACACCGTATCCTGCAATTTTAGCAACTCTGACCAATTCCAAACGGTATCTCTACATGAATCCGAATAGAGCCCTAACTTCTCTCTTTTGTACATTGCACTTGGGGAAAAAATCGTGGTTCACACAAAGCTTGCCATATCAGCTACACTACTACCAAAGAGACGCACTGCAAGAGTCCCACTGACCACTGAGATAGGCCAAAGAGATCTATTCACTCAGGACTTCTCACACATGAATTGTCCCTAAGACCGAATGAGAAAAGAGGAAGGGAGTGGAACTTGCCTTTCATTGTATAGTGTTTCCAAACTGCATTGTTAGAAAGTGTGCCAACTACACACACACACACACACACACACACACACACACACACACACACACACAACTAGAAACAAAGGATTTCAAATCTCACACGAGGTTTCAATGGGACATTGTTAACAACAATAACGCACACAACTCCCCCTACCTTTTGCGTTTCTTTCCATGATGTAGTGTGTAATATAAAATAATAGTAATAATAATAATATTCAATAATTATAATTAGTAAGAAATCATCTCAGAAGCTCCAGAAAGAAATTCACTCAGTATTTGACACAACCAGGAAACAACAACAACAATCACCCCACTGCGCACAAATGGAGGGTGGATTTTGAAGCAAAAAGTAATCTTTCCGAAAGGTTGTTTCCTATTTACCCTCTGCAAATCAATAATACCAAACGATTAATTGCTACAGATTGGAATCAATCCAACCACAGGTGAACGAGGCAGTTGTCAGAGTAGAAATCTCTTCTAAAATGCATTTGTAAACATGCAGCTGTCACATTATAAAAATGAGCCACACACACTATTATATATATCTGTATAATGGGAACAAGTTTGTGGTAAAGGGCTAGTATGTGTCAAAAACAGGTTGCCAATATTTTATGTTATATGTTAAAATGTGATAGGACAGTGAAGCAAATTCTAATTAATGCAGATATGTTAATTCTTGCCTATATGTCTTTCTTTCCAGATGTAGAGCAAAAGCAATGCTGAAAGGACTGCAGATATTCATCTAGGCAAACACTTTCTCCTCACTGTGTGAAAAGAGATCTTCCCCCAGAATATAGGTTTTCCCAATCTTAACAAGTTTATTTTTGAAGCATAAATACTCTATTGGTTCGCTCCTCCACTGCACACTATATCAAGGAAAGAAACATCTATACATAATCCCATGTACACTTTTCCACATAGCGATTTATTTTTCAACCATCTGTATTATTATCCCCCACTTCCCTAAAATAGCAACCTTAATGGACGATTTCTTGTAATCTTAGAACAATAGAGGGTTGTACTTCTCTTTGATTACAGCAGAGGGAGCACAAAACAGCTCACCTCACATTAGAACAATATACCAAGTGTGATTGTCTTCTCCCTCGGCTTCAAATCCATCTCTGTGCTCTGTACAAACCTAAGCGCCCGTGTATGCAAAGAGGGTATTGCAGCCTTATACTTTTAGATGCAATAATCTATAGTTTAATTTCTCGGCACGTAATTTATCACACACCTAATGTGCTTCCTTTCACTGAGGAATCTAGGAGACTTTGAAATGACTCACACAACCTCGGCAATGCAAAGGAAATACACATTTTGTGATTTGTCTAATAAATGCGTTGATGCGACAGCTACTACTACCAGAAATGAAAGATACTGGTGCTAAGGGTGAAAAAATCAAACTGAAGCACTCAAAGCCGGGAGAACAGCTATTCTAAAACCCTCTCCCACAAAATGCGCCATTCTTTATAACAGATTTCCCAGGATCTGATGCTTTTTCCTCTCCTAAAATTGATGAAATACATCAGACACCACCCCGGGACCTCTCGTTATGTCCAAGGAAGTTTTCCGAGAGAAATAAACAAAACAAAACACCTCTATCCTAGAAATAAGGATACAATGTACCTTCCATACATCCTTACTGTGGGTCAAAACTGAAGAGCCTTTTGCTGGCTGTATTAGGGATTTTCCAAGTGCAATAGGAAATGTCAAAACCTCGGCACTATTCTAGGCTAGATCATGTGTAAAGATTACAGAGCAGGGTGAAAACAAAACATCCGAACCATTGTCCTCTTAGCAGTGCCATCACACAAGCCTGTCTGGTAGCACCCAGTAGCTCGAAGTAGTCAAATTAAGAATATTAAAGGGAGACATTAAATCAAGACAAGGGCAATCTATTCATCGTGAATGAAGCTCCTTTAAAAAAAACAGCCTCTTGAATACATCAAGCACTAGGCTATGCCTAAAGTCTGTACCCGCAGCATCCCATTACACTTTTCAGTGGCTCTTTCGCTGGGACACTTTGTCTATTTGCATGTGCACATAGTATTATCGGTGCCAGAACTCACCTGCAAGTCTTAAGGCTGACATTCTCTGGAACTCGGGTTCCTGCAGCCATTTCCACATTCTCCTGAACGTCTCCCTGCCAGATTTCAGCTTACTCCAAGGTTTAGGGTTCCTTAGAAGGTCTGAAAGGGTCCCCTGAGAACGGCACAGCACCCTCTGGGCAAAGATCGCCTGGGGGATGCTATAGCGCTTCAGCTCTGCAGTGATCCTTTGGGCCACTTCTTTGGTGTTGATCTCTTCTAACTGCCCAGAGTTGTTAACTTGAGATCCAGAGGAGGAGGGCGGCCTTTCCCGGCTGGAAGCCAACACGGGCCCGTGAGGCTGAGCATGGCCAGGGTGTCCAGGATGGTGCATACCGGTTAAGTGGGACATCATGGCCGCAGGGGGGGTAGCCAGCCCCCGGGAGAGGTGCTGCTCACCCCTGGCCAGCATGGCAGTGTGGGCATCAAAGTTGGGGCTGAGCATCTTGTCGTGGCTGGGGGGTCCATAGTTATGGAGGCTCTGCTGGGTGTTGTGGATGGACCCCAATCCGTTGCCCAGGGGGGTGCCAGCCAAGGGGGACAGGCTCTGCCCCATGCCGGACATCTCCTTGTAGGGGCTGTAGAGGTTGTTCATGGCCGGCAGACCCCTCTCGTCCCTCATCAGGGTGAAGCTCCCGCTGACATTGCCGGAGAGGCGCTGGTGGTGGTGGTGATGGTGGTGGTGAGCATGGGGGTGGTGGTGCGGGTGGTGGAACTTGTCGGAGACGGTGGAGATGGGCGGCAGGGGCTGGAGTGGAGTCAGAGTGGTGTAGGTGCTGCTCATGCCCATGCCAGGGGGCGAGGAGTCACAGGGCATGCTCATGGCATGATGGAGGGGGATGGACAGCTCCGGGCGGTAATCCCCTGCCCCGTCTAGCAGGGAAGCCATGCTGGACACCATGGCCGAGCGGGAAGAGGCAGAAGCTAAGTCCTGGTGCGAAGGAGGAGGATGGACCCGTAGCGATCCGGCGCTGCGGCTGGGGTGGTGCGGGCTGGGGCTGCCCAGCAGATCCTGCTCATGGCTGGCTGCCCCATGCAAACTGCCCAGACTGTCCATTGTCATCTCCGGGTTCATGGCGCAGGCATCCAGCTCTTTGGTGAGGCATCGATAGGCGGTGTAGGCAGTCTTCATTCAGTCCATGGGGGTGCTGGGCTGGCGGGATGCTCGGGGCGGGGGGGGGGGGGAGAATATAAGGCCTCTCAGTTGTGTGTGTGTATGTGTGTGTGTATGTGTGTGTGTGCGGGGGCGGGGGGAAGGGTGTGTGCGTGCGTGTGTGAGTGCGTGTGTGTGTGTGTAGGGGGAGGCGGGGGGAAATCACCAGTCTCTATCAGCCGGGCCAGCGCCGTTCCCTCGCCATGTCCTAGCCCTTTCCTCCTCTTACGTCTTCTGTTTAGGTAGCTGGAGCTGTCCAGAGTGGGTTTGCTGCTCAAACAACCTAGCTTAGCCCGGCTGGGCAGGGCTTGGGCCAGGACTGACAGGCAGCCCAGCCAGAGGCCAGTGAGGGAATGCTAAGCCCTCGCTTTGTCGGGGAAAGCCCTCCAATGGGCAAGGGGATGGGTGGGACTGGAGGCTTAAAGCTTGGCTGAGATTTCAGAGCTCCTTCTCCCCCCCCCCCCCCCCCACTGGAATCAAACGTCAAGGAGAGAGCGAGCGAGTTGAAGATGCAGCGTCCCCCTTGTCCAGGGGAAAGGCAGGCGCTGTGTCTCCACGGGGAAAGCGCCCCCCCCCAGCAGCTGCGAATCAGGACGCAGAATTTGCTCTCCATAATAGTCAAAAGTAAGATGCTACAATCGTGACTTGACACAAATACTCGTGTGAGCGACCGTTTGCTGCTGCCTGGTAATTCGGTGTCACGGTGTAATACAGTGTAATTAAGCGCACCCCCCTCTGAACTGTCTCTACTACACCGGGCTTGCCAACCGATGGTCAGTATTTTAACCCCGTCACAAAGTCGGGGGGGAGGGAGGGGGTTGCGTTTGCACATCGCCCGCCAACTTAGTACAGAGGCATTGTTTTAATTATGCAATTGCTCAAGTTTATTCTCATAAATCGCTCGTTTGTTACACTATTCTGTCTCTCTGGATCCCTGCAGACTGCAAAACAAAGCTGGAGCTCTGGGCACTTTAGAGATGAATATTTTAAACAAAAGTGAAGGACTCTGTAAAAACAATGCCCCAAAAGAATCTAGCTACATGTTCTAATTACTTGTAGTAACAAAGTTTTGCAGCCCCCCCCCCCCCCCCCCCCCCCCAGTTCTGCAGCACGTCTGAACAGCCTGCTCCAGGCTCATTTGACTTTTTAAAAAGCTGTGCACCACTTTTTTCTCCCAAGAAAAGCCAGGCATTATGCAGCACACGCTGCCATATGGCTTTGAAATCTCTGCGTTCCAGAAGGTAATACACTTTTTGCCTAGTCCTAATTCTGTTCTGAAATGGATCAGTGGATGCTGAAGGCATGACCAGGGCCTGTCTTTCAGTTTCCCCTCCTCTCTTCAAAAGCCCCTCTACATATCTATTCCTTGAATCTGTGTCCTCTGTAAACCGTGAAGAAAGACAATCACCAAGAGAAAGGGCATTTCAGCCAGCAGCCCCTGCCTGCCCCCCAAAGTAACAGATTCTTGAGGAGCAAGTTGCTCTCCCTGTGTTATTCTGGAGGTTTGAACAGGCTGAGGTTGCGCAGATGTTGCCTTTGTTTAAAGAGACAGTAATTAAGGGCAGGGTGGACATAAGTTTGAAAAGCGTGACCTATTTTCTTTTGATCAGCTGTCAAAAGAAGAGCAGGGGGTCTTCTTAAGACAGCCCCTTCCAACCACTTCCAGCTGTTAGAGAAAACTTGATAAGAAAAGAAGGAAAAGTGCCCAAAATACAGTATGTGGCATCTTGGCTAGAAAAAGATTTGATTCATTTGGAAAACACTTTGACTCTCCCTTGACCTTTCCCTTTCTCCTGCTAGCTGCACAGGGAGAAAACGTCCCCTCACATGAATATACAGTAATGTTACGGGGTCAACTTTAGAGTTCTGGTCAGTGGAAGTATTCTCTTAACTGACCCTTCCTTCCCTCTTGCACCAGATCTATTTAGTAAGTTGTTTCATTCTCTATGTTTATAAAGGTGGATCGCCTTGGTTGTCAGGCATCTCTAATTCACTACAAAAGCTCATGCTATTGCAAGCTCTCAGTTCCTAGATGGTTGGTGTCACCATTGATACCCAAGGCGCTTGTACATTTCCTGAAGCATTTCATGAAGTTTTAAAAAAAGCCATCCTGAAGTACAGGTGCTCTTAATGCCTTTTGTAATCTGTGCTTCATATGCAAAGGTCTAGACCCACTAACTTCACACTGGCACAAATAAGCTCTTCTTATATCAATACATTAGCATATTATTTCTCTTCTTTTTCTGGGAGTGGTTTTGAGGTGCGGGGGTGGGTTTGTGCAAACTAAAATAAACCTATTTTCTATCATGATCAAAATGTACACTGTGAGCTGCGCTCCTGGGCTTGGGAATGATCACGTGTGATAGAGTTTAAAGGTGAGTTGTTGCATGCTCCCACCTCCGGATCAATACTGGGTTTCTCTGTGAAATCATGCAATCTTATTTCTTTCTTTGTGTATCAACCGGGCACGATTTCGACAGGTTTCACGTTTAGTTTCTAATGGAAACGGGACATTTTGTGGTTTACCCTTAGCAAACATTTACACGAGAGATGCACAGCCTGAATGAACCACAGGCTAAGGTCCTAATTTTAAATGAACTCTCTCCTCCCCCTTTTAGTAAAATATTGAATTGTGTCTTCCCACTCAGGTTCATTTATACAGTGGCAATTTTGATAGCAGGCACAGTTTTTTAAAGTGTTAACTTATTTTGTGGGTTTTTTAATGGTACCATTAGATGAAAACTACAACTCCAAAGGCCACGAGAAGAGCTTTGAAAACTGCACTTTGCAGAATTTAAGAGTCCATATTTTACTCTTTTGATTCCATTGAGTTTTTTCCCCCGTTTGAATGATTTTTCAATATACTGGTAAACAATGCAGAAAGTGTGATATATGGTCAATACAATTCCCTCATTAATAATATTTGGCCAAACTAGCCTGTAAAATGTTATAGCAAAGCACATTGTAATATTCCACTTTAAATATGACACAGGTTGGAGAGTATAATCACCGTGCATAACAGTGTGATAAAAGTAGACATTATACAAATATTTTGAAAATAAGGTGTTTCATGCTCTATTTTGTTCTTAAATCAAGACCTCAAGCAAATTAATGAGATATAAATACTTTCAACTAGATTAAATATATCAGCAACTAAAGCTTGGCAAATATACATTATTAATGTAAAATAAACTATATATATATAGTTATATATGCAGAAATAAACAAATCTCACAAGTCACATATCTAGATCTGTCTTTACTTATCTTGCTGATAACACACACAACATCTATTTTAGAGACTATTTGAGCCATTTTCAGAATATTCAAAAATGCCTGCAATTCTTTGCCTGTAGAAAGACCAGAAAAAAACATTTATTCTCCAACTAGGGTTATTAGAGAAGCACAAAAAGATACAATAATAGTGAGTTGATTTGAACTACTTTATTTTTGTCCTTACCAAAACCATCTGGCATGTGAGTGCAGGGGTATTGATCAGAATCTGTGTGCTGCAGACCCCATGCTAATCTATAGCGTTACTGGCAATCAGCTTCGCCAATGAATTGCATCTGTCTGTACAGCTATCAAACAAACATCTTCCAAAAAGTTCCCCTTCCCCAGCGTAATCATCCATTCAGGGGTAAGTCAATCCTCTTCCTTTCTGATTCTGCTAAGGAGAATTAGATAGAAAGTTTGTGTTGTTGGGTTTTAAAGGAATGAGAGCATTTTTTCTAGCCAGTGAATGATAATGGTTTTCCAGAAAGGCCTCAAGCGTTTGTATTAATCTGACAACAAATTCAATTTCAATATTGTAGGGGAATTTTTAGGAGAGGCAGAAGAATCATTATACTACCTAAAACTGAAGAGCTGCATTTTAACTCCTAAATTCTATTTTAGTAAGAGGACTATGGTGAAGAGTGTGTATACATTTATATGCATATGTATGGGGGTGTAAACGTACACAGAGACAGACATAATCTCCAAAGTAGATCTGTGTATCTTCTGACACATGTAACTTGATTCTATCTAACCATTCAATAGGTGTAAAAGGAGAGGGAAAGTACATAAAGCCAGCCTTCTAGTGAAAAAATATGTGATCAGCATAGAGACAAAAAAATCATTTAGATCACGAACAAGAATTGTTTCCCTGGGTAACTGTTGGGAGGCGAGGAATGGCTGAAATGTGCAGGATCGCCTCCCTCGTTAACCAAACGCGAGAAGTTTTTTGTTTTGGCTAAAAGTGCAGTTTTTAATCCAGTTGATGCTTGCTATGCTGTTACTTCGCCAGGGCTCATCACCTCGGGGTTGGACTGTAAATACAAGCCGGGAAAGTATTGGACCACCAGACAATGAGTTCTCTTAGCTCCAGGTTGGATCTGGAAGTACCAGAGCGCAACAACCATCGCTCTGATACAACTCTGGCCTTCGCACGGATTTGGGAACTTCCCCCGCTACAACTTTGATAGATGGAAGGGGTTGCGGGGGGTCGGGGGGAGGGGAGCGCGAGAAAGAAGGAGGAAAAAGAGCAAATCATACCAAACGCCAATTAGGCACAGAGTTAGGAATGGGACTTGCTGGCTTTGAACAGGAGGCTATTTGCGGACCCAGCACCAGCGGGACCCGCTTCTTCTGCCTTATCTCGCAAGGGCTGTGAGCCGGGCTCTGAGCTAAAGGGAGCGGGATAGTGGGAATTGTTTGGATCTTCGTTGGTGCTGAGTTCGCTGCTGCCAAGTACACCAATGTTATGCTTTTTCTCAGTGCCAGCCCGCTGCGGCCCCCGCCTCCTCCATTTTAATCAGTAACGCAGAGACGATAACTTTGAGAAATGTTGTCCTTGTGCTTTATGCTGATCTTATCGAGGACCCTGATAATCATCTTTGTGTTTTTTTAAGGTTGCATCCATTTTTTTCTTTGGTAAGGCAGATGAAAATGGCACCTTTTTGACAGGACCAAAGAAAGTTCAGTCTGTTTGGATCTCTGAGAATACCAGGGAGGAAAATTCCTAACAGTAGAAAGGAAAAGAAAAGAAA